CAGCATCATTTGCTGGTGAGGACATGGAACTCTGGCGCCAAGAGCATGAAGGAAGAGATTGTAGCAACTTCAAAAAATAAGAGCAGTTTACCTGTTCTGTGACTTAGAAAATGCTATTTTTACAGACTGCTCTAAGAGAAACAGCGCCGTCTAGGAAAGTTCTCAGAGGTCCAGCGGTGGCTTGGGGTAGAGCATTACTCAGCCTTCTGTAGGCCCCGAGCTCTACGCCCTGGATCATAGGGCTGATTGTCTTTTCACTACTCACAGTGTTTAACCCATCGGGATATAAGGGGAAAGTCACAAGACAGTTATGGAGAACACTTTCAATGTGAAAAGCTATTCAAAACTACATCAAAACAGAAAATAAGGCCATGTCAAAGGTAAGAGTGACAAAGTGACAAACAGTAGGAACATATCTGCAGGACCAAAATATTCAACAGGAAGATTGGAAGACAAAAAAAAAAAAAAAAAAATTAAGGCTAGAACACCATCCACGGTAAGAAAATATTCAACAGCAAGATTGGAAGACAAAAAAAAAAGACCTAAGACTAGAACACCATCCACGGTAAGAAAATGTTTATGTGCATCTTTGGCAGCCACCTTAGCACACACTGGCAACAGAATGTACAGAAAAACAGGAGTAAACCCTACAAACAATAAACAAATAAACTTCCTAGTGTCAAAGAAGGTACATATTTAAACTGAAAAATTTCTGAGCACCCACAGAAATAAATGAAAAAACAGACATATGTGGAATTATATCTTTTTGAAACTTAAAATTACCAGAGGTAAAGATAAAATTCTTTTTTTAAAAAAAAAAACCCTACTAGATATAGAAAACTATATCAAGAGACTACAGTTTTACTTAGCAATAGTGGAAGCTGGAGGTCAAGACAATGTCTTCAAAATTCCATCAGAAATGTTTCCCAATTCAGAGCTAACTCAGCTATAAGTCAAAAGTGAAGATAAGTGATACATTTCCAGCCATCAGAAATTGAAAAATTGCAATTTACAGATTTTCTTTTTATGGGTGGATGGGGTGGGAACTGAGTTTCTCTTTCCATAACCTCGGTTTTCCCTGAACTCACTGTGTAGACCAGGTTCAAACTTGAACTGAACCAGATCTGCCAGTCTCTGCCTCCCAAATGCTGGGGATATAGCTCTATAGATATCTTTGTGGCATATTTTAAATAACTGTAGAGCTTTTTTGCTTGTTTGTTTTGGGTTTTGGTTTGTTTGTTTGAGGCAGAGTCTCTCTACACAACCTTGGCTATCCTGGAACTCACTATGGAGACCAGGCTGGCCTTAAACTCACACAGGTCTGGCTGACTCTGCCTCCCAAGAGTTGGGATTATTGATGTGCACCACTACGCTTGGCTAAATGTGTGTACTTTTGAAAGGAAGACATCATGCAAGTATAGAAATACCCTAACATGGCAGCAAAGACAAGCCCAGAACAGCTATGCCCTCGGGACGGCAAAGGGAAGCCAAGGCGGCTGCTGGGTGGCAAGGTGGGCAAAGGGCAGGGCCGAGCTTTGGGTACTGCAATCTCTCAAGCAAGGAAAGGAAAACTAAGATGCTGCTGTGATTTTACAAACTGAAGGAAACACAATGAGACAATTAAAGCAAATCGTATAACCAAACTTTATCACCACAATAAAGACAACTTAGAGTGTAGAACAAACCAAAGGTCTCTACCACTGGGACAGAGGAAAGGCAACAGGCATAAACGTGCTTTCTCCTCCTCTCAGAAGAGGATAAATGGCCAGGCAGTGGTGGCGCACGCCTTTAATCACAGCACTCAGGAGGCAGAGGCAGGCGGATCTCCGTGAGTTCGAGGCCAGCCTGGTCTACAAGAGCTAGTTCTAAGACAGGCACCAAAAACTCCAGAGAAACCCTGTCTCGAAAATTAAAAAAAAAAAAAAAGGAGGATAAATGATCATGGCTATAATTCCCATCTAGACATACTATTCAAAATGAATACAACAGTGTAAAGAAATGTGGAGAGCATTACTGCACTTCGAAATATAATGTATATGTTACTATTATACAACATTTTATACTGAATGAAATTTTAAAAAAAAGAAAGAAAAAGGCAAAACTAACACCCAAAATAAGTCTATTTTGGTACTGTGACTAAAACAGTAAGAAAAAGTTCATGCCTCAAGGAGATTATTTCTACTGAGCGAACAAAACAAAAAGAAACTTATAATACAACCACAAACAGTGACAAACATTCCCCCAAGCCAGTAATTACACAGAGTTAATGCTAGGCAGGAAGTGGGCCACTTCTGGCAAATCTGTCAAGGAAAGACGCTAACTAGTGGTCTTGACCAGAAATCTGGATGGAATCAAGGACTGGACTTTTCAAAAGTAGGAGACAAACATGCTCCAGGAGACTGGGAACAGATTTTGTTTGATGTGGAGGGAACCAGCAGAAGTCTAGAATTAAGAACAGAAATAGCCCAAAGGGAAAGGTTAACAAAACAGCCAGAAGAAAAAGCAACACTTAGCAACAACTGGCGGCCCAGGTGGACAGCATAAAATTCGCTAATGAGAATGAAATGAGTTAGATGACATAATTATTAAGTTATTGCCTTTGGTTATGAAAATAAACTGTAATTAAAGCCTATTTCATTTGTCTTTTTGGTTAAGCAGGTGTCTAAAGACAGTCCTGTTTGTATCCTACTTTCTGTTACAAAACGAAACAACACAAAGTTCCACGACACAATGTACAGTTTAGTGAACTTATCCCCAGGAAGATACATCACATGAAAGGATGCTCCGAGCTCTCTCAGAAACCACAAAAGCATGATAAGAGTGAGGACTTACTGAAGGAAAGATAAGGGAAAGAAGTCTGTAGGTTGCTAAATTCTTTCATACTGCCTGCACCTTCCAGCCTTATCTTGCCCGATGTCCACCCCACCCCATTCTAACTTAACTGGTAGAGTTAATAATATCGGACAGGTTATTCCAACATCCACTGGGCACTACTAAGTGAGAAGTGCACAATAGTTAAAAAAATAAAAATGCCAACACAGGTAACTTTGTTTATAAGGAAAACAAAACTTTCAGCCTACTATATGAAAATGATCCCATTACTCCACTTCAGGAAAACACCTGATGACCAGACTCTTCACTGTTTCTGCTGCTTCCTGTGTTCAATGCACTGTCTTGGTCAGCATGGAAGAACCTCAGTGATACAGTTTCTTAGTGACGGCTCCAATCTCATCAAGTGAAGTACAACTGCACAAACTAATTAAACCATGCTAAGTTTCCTTAAGTGTATCCAACCTATTCCTCTTTGTGTACGTTAGCCCATCTGCCTCCACCAATAGGCCCAATTCTACTCTGTCTACGTTGCATTCACCCCAATCTGCCACTCAGCGTCAAGTCCAGGTACATCTTACCCTGGAAGGCTTCGAGGAACCACCTGAGGCGGGCCAAGTCCCATCACCCCACACGTAGAAACATCTACACGCAATCTCCTACACTAACTCTTGTGTGTTCTGAAAGCACAGACTTGGCATCTTGGTTGTTTGTAATCTCTGCAGCTACCGGGTCTAATTTGGAGAACTGGTTTACTGACTAAGGAGGTAATCGTGAGTGAGAGAAAGGGACACAACCACGAGCTCCCAAAGTTCAGCAGGAAGGGGAAAGAATTGTTACGCAGAAAGGGGGCTATGGAAGCTCAAACAATTTTTCAAAGATGGAAGTGGCCACACGAAGGCTTTCATCATCTTCCACGATTGGCCTTTTCACCCCCCCACCCCCGCTTCTAGTCTGCTTATGGAATCCTCTAATGAACAGAGATAAAAGACAGCAATAACCAACAAAAAAGGGAGAATCAATTCTCTGACAATTTTTATTGCTTAGGCTCAGGCGTGTGTGTATCACTGCATAATTTGTTTATATTTACATAAACTTAACTGTATAATCAATATAAATATGGTTATATATTGAAATATTCCTTGACATGGTACATTTACAAGCATTAGAAAATTTTTAAGCTGCTAAAAAAAAACGAATGTATTACATTCATGGGTAACACCGCAGGGAGCTGAACTTTGGACACTTTGAAGTCACTTAAAAAGGGGATTTATTGGTAGCACTTGCATAGATACACGCACGCATTAGTGTGCTTGCATGTATTTATACTCATAAGCTTGAAAAAGGTTTTTTTTTTAATCCACCCACAGGACAAGTGAACTAAGGCCATTCAAATTCATTTCACGGTTTAAATCCACAAAATAGATAAACACCTTAATGTTAGGAATTGGTACTCATGAAAACAAAACTAGTTTATAAATCACACCCTTTCAAAATGAAACAAATGAAAAAAAATGGTCTTAATTCTCTGAAACCAGTCTGTTACAAGAACGCCCAAGACTTTATCACTGGGCTCCCTTTCTGTCCGGTACCAACTCTTCTCAAGCTTATTCTGAGTCGGAACAGGTTTTACAACTTCTAGGTATTTCCTGACCTGTTCTAGAATAACTACGGCCACGTAACATCTTACACATAACCGAAAGCATTTAGTTTTTTTTTTCAACGCCTACGGGGGGTGGGGGGAGAGCTGTGCCTTGTGTGTGAAAATTTCAGAAACCTGTACACCTGAATTATCATCCTTGACTCTTGAGCAGAAATCAGAGCCAAGTCGGACAACGTGAAGGTGCACTGGCTCAAACAAGGGGAAGGTAAACAGTGCAAAACTAATGTTTCCTGTTAAAGAAAAGGAAAGTTTGGGGTTCTTGTGAAGACACTTTTCTACAGCTAATCAGACCTAAGTCTGGTTCACTGAGACAAAAAGGCCCGCAAACAGAATGCAGAAATCTGTTTCCACCTTGGTTGGATAAAATCCGGACACGCATTGGATTCCCGACCACCAGCGCCTCCCCTGCCGGGGCTCCCAGTCCCCAGATCCGAGTTCTACCCTGAGCCCGAGTCCCGATCTCAAGCTAGACTTGCCGGCGCCGCGTCCACCAGCCCGCTGGCCTCACCTTGGTTACAGAAAAGGCTCCACAATTTAGCGAAGATCAGCCCCATCATGAGCCCCGGGCCGGACGGGCTCCCTGGGCAGCACTCGGCGGCAGGTGCCGCGGCGCCCGTGGTGGAGCCGACCCGGAGCCGCCGAGCCTGAGTCCCCCGAAGCTTCGGTCCTCCGCGGAGCCGGGAACCGCCGCAGACTCCTTTGTTCGCAGTGCGCTGAGCCCAGCCCCGACCCGTAGTCGCTCCGTCGGCGCCCACCTACCCAGCACAGCCTCAACCGGCCGCGAGCCCCGCCCCCGCCCCGCCTCCCCACCGCAGCCCGGGACCACCCATCGCCGGAAAGTCCGCACGTGACGTCGGCGCACTGACGTCACCCGCCGCTCGGACGTGGCGGGTCCTCCCCGTGCACTTCCGGCGTGCGGACCGTGGGCGGCTAGGCGTCAGCGGGCACGGGAGTGGCTGGGCTGGGGATTTCCTCGGCGCGCGCTCCCTCTCCCGTCCCTCGGAGGAAACGCGGGTTCTGCTTCCGAGCTCCGGCGTCCCCGCGGCGTCGCTGCTGGAAGCCTGCAGAAACTCAGCTGCGCGGGCAGGAGTGGTGGTGTTTCATCCCCCGTTCCTCCCGGGCTGGCCGTGTTGGGATTCTAGTGCGATTCTTGATGGAACTGAGGGGACGCGCGTCCTGGAATGCCTGTACCCAGGATTCGGTTATGTTTCTAAACACACACTGCGACCAGTTTGGCCAAAACCGGTCGTTGATCTCATGGAAGCCTCGTAGGCCGGAATAGTCCTTGAGGGCCCACATAACGGCAGAAGAAGGATTTTAAAGGCTTGTTTGACACCATAACTTTTTCCATGACCTAAATAAAACAACTGAGTGTGGCTTAAGATGCCCTCTTAGTGCTGCGCTTCAAAGATCAGCGAAGACTTCAGCTTGATACTAAACCCTAGCTTCAGTCTCATAAGGAAGGAAAGATGTACTCATCTTTTGGCATTCAAACGGCTTTAATAGCCATTTCGTTAGACTATACATATAAACGAGTTTGTAGTTGTGTTAGCAAGTTTAAAGTTTTCCTGGTTTCATTATTAAAAAGCTGACTTTAGATTCTTTAACGCCCCTTTCAGGTGAGAATTTAGAAATTTGAAAGTTAACCGGATGGAAAGGAAACCTAACTCCGACTAAAACAAATGATCGAGGCTGACAACTATAGTTGAATATTGTTAAACAAATGTAATGCTGATAATATATATGCTGATGTTAGAAAAACTGGCACTTAAGTTTATGCTGTGCACTTGTATTGACTATTAAATTACGTTAGGCATGTTTATCAAGAATTTAATGAAACTAGAAAATTCTGAGGATATACTTTTTAAATGTAGCTCATATAAACTAAATACTTTTTCTTTAAATGTCCCTTTAGGGTTTTGTTTACACTAATTTCAGTGTTGCCCTTGGTATAGATGAGGTAACATTGCTCTGTAGAACAGTGCCATTTGAAAACGAATATAGTTTGAATTCTTGAGATGAGAATAACTGCATGGAAATATTAGGAATTTAGGCTATTGTGTTATGTGTCAATCGGAAATGACATCTTTCCATAAAATAGAATCCCAGTAAAAACTGTCCAACAAAATATTTAAAAGGTTTAAGTGCAAAATTAGTGTAAAATAAACTGAAATTTCAAGGAAGTAAAATGTTAACTCACGGAGTTTAAAAGAGCAAAATTTTGTAGGTTTTCTTCTTAGGAGGAACCATTATAAACTGACCAGATGATACTCGGAAAAACTTGGTATCTTTGGCATTGAATTCAACGTATTAATCAGTTGAGTTAGATCAGTTTGTACAGAGCTTGACAAAAAGCGTTCCAGGAACTGTGTGTTCTGCCAGCCAAGGAGGAAAGGCGCTCTTCAAAAACTCCTCAGCCTTTCTCATGTCAGTTTAGATGTTAGTCCAGTTGGTCCGTTTCCAGATGGGTTGGGATTGATTGCCCATCAGGAAGTTCCTTTCTGCCATATGGTCAGAGAAATCAATACAATTTCATTCAGTAGATATCTATTAGACACTTTTTGTAGGTGATTGATTGATGCAAACAGTTTACTTTGTCATTCCTGAAAGTAGGAAAGAACATATTGATAAATTTCTGATGAAGGTGTTGTTTAGAGTCACAGAGAGGTTACATGATACCCTGAGTTTCAGAATATTTCCTGGGCCGAAATATCATTAAGTCTATGACTGCGGTCCTAAGTTATACAATGGGCCATGGTGTCTCTCCTTTGTGCTGCAGGGATCTCCACACTCAGCCTTCCCATACTTTGTAAGCGTTCCTGCCAACAGATGCTTGGAAGCTTTCGTCTTGTGCAGTGTTATCCTTTGGGAGCAAGATACTCTCCTTCCTGGCTCGACAGAAGCCAAGGTAGTTTGTAAAATTTGTGGATTTGGTGACATGTTCTAGTCCTCTCCTCTTTAGAAACAACTGTGCCCTGCCCTTTGTTGCAATCCTGTTCCTTAGGGTGGAACCTATTACATTTATATAACCTCTCATGAAAAACCTGAAATCTGTGTCCATTCCTCCCTGACGTAGACCAGTTAACTCCTGCTGTGTCCGGATTTGGGTCACACTTTAGTTCTTCCCTGCTGAGTGGAGATTGACACCCATTCCTTCTGCGTGGGTAATCATATCATCTAAGATTTAGAGAAGTTTGGCCTTTTCTGATGCTCTTTGAAGTGGGTTATCTAACATGTAATCTCTAGTAACACTATAAAGCATGAACTACCTCCATTTAATAGTACAGAAAAATAAGGTGTAAGAACTTTTGATCATTTGCCCAGAGTTACAAGGACTGCATCTGAACCATAGCAGTCTAGATCGGTAGTGAAATTCTTAACAATTAAGATAAGATTCACTCAACAACCTGATAAACCCCATCCTCTGTGGTTAAAGGACTTTATTTTCAGAATCTTTACTATTTGTTTCTTTCTCAAGTGGCAAGGAGATATGTTCAGGACAAAACAAGAATTTAGGCTTGTAGATTGTTGGATCTTCAGAGAGGTCTGGCTTGTAGCGAGTTGTGGTGTTAATCTTCAATGTTTCATAGTCACTGCAAGGGAAATGAGGAGGTCCAGGTAAGAATTAGACTATATCATTTATAGAACTCAGGATGAGCAAATCCAGAAGCTGCTGTGCTTGATCTTGACCGCATATTGAACTGTATTATATTCATTTTTTGGCTTTCCGACTCTATAGGTCCTAATTTGTATTTTCTCAAATGACACCAACTTATTTAAAAAACTGAGATACTATATTGACAGAATTAGATTTGTGGCTGAAGGGATGTGTATAGATGTCATGTTATTTTTATAGAACACTTAGAATTGCCAGGAGGAGTTGGGTTTGTGGTAAATGCCTATATTCCTGTCTTTCACAAGGCTCAGTCAGGAGAATTATGAATCAAGAGCACCCTGGGCTAAATGGGGAGGATCTGTCAGAAAAATAAACAAACAGACAAATGGAACTAAGGAGAAATCCCTGTTAGTAAAGCACTTGCCATGGAAGCATGAAGACCTGACTTTAGATGGCCAGCACCTGGGGTTTTTTGTTTGTTTGTTTTGTTTTTGTTTTTGTTTTTCAAGGCTGTAGTCAGAGTTTTCTTTGGGCCATAAGCTCCCAAATAATGACTCAGAGACTTATCAATGATGAAAGCTTGGCCTTAGCCTAGGCTTGTTTGTAACTAGCTGTTATAAAGTCAATTAACTCATATCTATTAATCTACATTCTGTCCTGTACTGCCCATCCTGATTCCTCCATTTCTTCCACCCAGCCCTCCTTCTCTCTCAGCTAGATTCTTTCCCCTACTTCGGCTTTTTATTACAACAATCACAGCAATAGACCTTCACACAGTTTACAAATATCCCACAACACTGGGCTAGGAGTATGCACCTGTAATTCCAGCACTGGGAATGCAGAGACATGACATGCAAATTCCCGGAGTCTGCTGGCCAGTCCATCTAGCTAAGTCAGCCAGCTCCAGATTCAGTGTGAGACCTTGTCCGGGCAAAAGAAAGTGGGAGCAGTTCTGATTGCTACATTGATCTCTGCCTTTCACATGCACACGTGTATACTTGAACCTGAACACACACATTTGTACACACACGTTCATGCTCATCTATGCAGGTCCAAGAGAAAAGCAATGAAAGAAAACGAGGAAGTTCCCTTTACTGCAGAAGCGTAGAATTCAGAATTAAGAAATCGTTTGAAGTAACATCCTCAGAGATGAAATAAGGCCAGGTTGCTGTTGAAGAAATGTTGAAGGTGACTATGATAAAATATAAAATGAGAAAACTAGACAGAAATTGCTTACCCTTTTTTGCATGAAGAGTGAAGAAGCTACTTTGAAATCATCATTTTGTCACCACTTAAGAGGATCATCCCTGTCGGTAGCCCTTTCTAAAATCCCCACCCCACCCCGTTTCTCCTTGTGACCCCACTTCTCATAAAATTAAATAAGGATTAAACTTTTTATGTGAAGTTCAACTTTGGAGTCATGAACAAGCTTAAAATGATGAGATTAGATCTGAGACTTATTCTTCCCATCAGTCCCTGCTTGGGTCCATCCTATCTCTTATAAAGAATGTGTAGCCTCAGTGGCTTCTCATGCCTGAATTTCTGTTGGAGTCTTCCTTAGCTTAGACAGTACCGGCTCACTCTACCAACTGCACATTTATGGTGTTTTCTTGGTTCCAGTTGTACAACATCAGCACACCCACTCATCCACTTAACTCCCATTACAGTCATACCTAGTCAGGGCTAATGTAAATGTCTGGTCACTAGTCAAGTGAACTACTTTACATCAAATATATGTTTAGCAGCAATTTCTGTTTCTACTTTGTTTGTCTGTTCTGTTAGTCATTCAGGGAGTGCCCTTTTTACATCAGACAATGAGTACACTATGTGGAAATGAAATTTCTTCCTCGTGAAGTCTACAATCAAGTTCAGGTTTTCCTTATTTCCTAAACATTTTTACTGCATCTTGTGTCAGAGTCACGGCAAAACTGCCTGTCCAAATTCCTTCGTAGGGTTGGCTTGTCTTCTGAATCCTACCCAAGGCATCCATTGCTGCAGTAAGATGCCACTGACCTGTTCTACCTGCCAGATTGCCCTGAACAGGCCACCCTGCCCAGGCTGGGCAGTGTCTCCGGAGACTAGCAGGATGGCTGGTAACAGCAAGGGGAGAGCACACAACACTAACCCACTTCACTCTTATTTGGGGTGAATAGATGCTCTATCTTCTCAGGAAA